GGAGATGAGACCATCCAAGGAAGCAGCCTCTTCTCTGGACATGTCCAGGCCTACGAGGTGGGTCTTGTGAGAAGGAATGGAGAGGCTGGCCCTGGGTGAGCCTCCCACCCATAGTTGGGAGAAATCACAAGAACCGGGGAGCATGGGGTCTCTTGAGTTCTGAAGTGTGTCTTGATTGGGTCTTAAGGCTTGAAACTGGAAGTCATGCCTATAATCCCAGCACTTTGGGAGGCTGAGGGAGGAGGATTGCTTGAGCCCAGGAGTTTGAGACCAGTCAGGGCAACATAGTGAGACCCCATCTCTGCAAATATAAAAAAAATTAGGTATGGTGGTGTGTCCCAGCTACTTGGGAGGCTGAGGTGGGAGGATCGCTTGAGTCCAGGAAGTTGAAGCTGCAGTGAGCTGTGATCATGCCACTGCACTCCAGTCTGGGTGACAGAGGGAGACCCTGTCTCAAAAAAAAAGAAAGAGAAAAGAAGGGAGGGAGGGAGGGAAAGAAAAAGAAAGGAAAGAAAGGAAGAAAAAGAAAAGAAAAAAGCCTCACTTGGTGTTGGGAGTCCTGTGTTTGAGCCTGCTTCTGGCTGTGATCTGCTGTGTGACCCTGGGCAAGACTGCGTATTCTCTGGGCCTCTGGTTCATCTATTGGGATGACTGAGTTGGAGCCGATATCTCAAAAGCCCCTTCCAGCCTAATGATGAATGTGCTTCCTGTGGAAGGGGTGCAGCATGGTGGTGAAGGGTCACGGTTCTGGAGTCCCACTGCCCGAGCTCAGAGCTTGGTTCCACACTTCCTGTCTGAACTTAGTCACGTTACTTGACTCTCCTGAGCTTCAGTCCCCCGTCGTAAAATGGGTAATAGTTGTGAATATTAGATAATGTACGCAAGTCACTTCATATACTGCCTGACACATGGTAACGGGCTAATAAGTGACAGCCACTACTTAAAGACTTGGGGGGTAAAAGTCAGGTTTCCCCATGCTGTTGAAGGAGGCAGCCTGACTGTGGGATGGTTCAAGCTCCACAGCGTGTCAAGGCAGGGCCTGCAGAGGCCCTCACTCTAGGGCGCCCATGACCTGACCTGGCTCTCCCCCTTCCAGGAGGCTCTGAAGAGCGGCATTCATCGTACTGTCCACGCCGGGGAGGTGGGCTCAGCCGTGGTGGTAAAAGAGGTGAGGGCCTGGGCTGGCCATGGGGTCCTTCCTCCCTGCTTTCTCCCATACTTGGCTCCATTCTGCTTCTCTACAGGCTGTGGACATACTCAAGACAGAGCGGCTGGGACATGGCTACCACACCCTGGAAGACCAGGACCTTTATGACAGGCTGCGGCAGGCAAACATGCACTTTGAGGTGAGCGGGCCCAGGAGTGGGAAGAAACCATCCCCGGCTGTCCCCACTTCCTATATAGAGAGGCAGAAAGCAGGGTGTGTCCCAGGAGCTGAAGGGGTGGCCCCAGGCCCAGACATAGGGGGAGGGATCAGCATGGCCTGGGCCATCCCTGCCAGCCACACACCTGCTCTTCCAGGTATGCCCCTGGTCCAGCTACCTCACTGGTGCCTGGAAGCCGGACACGGAGCATGCAGTTGTTCGGTGAGCTCTGGTCCCCTGTTCAGTTTTGTTCCAGGAAGGCCAAAGAGGGAGGAAACTGTAGGAAACAGGCATCGGCCCATGCCGGGTCTCTTAGATATGAAATCTCTTTGACGCCCTGGGAAGCAGGCATTGCTGTCCTCATCTTACAGACGAGGAATCTGAAGCCAGATGTGCTGTGGCTTGACTGGGATTAACCAGCAGAGGTGGGGCCTTACAGCTCATTCAGTTTCAGCACAATGCTCCGCTGCTCTGAGGGAAGCTTCTACACTTCAAATTCCCCCAACTCTGCCTTCTGGGCATCGCATAAGAAGCAGGAATCTCTCCTGCCAGTATGTTTTCTGTACTTGGCACCTGACTCTTGGGACCCCTGGGCATTCCCCTGAATGCCATCTTAAAGCTTTCCACTGGAGGGTCTGTTCCATCCTCCCTGGCTCCCATCCTGTAGTCTAACCAGGGCCAAGCCCTAGGAGTAATATCAGGCCAGCACTGATCCATCTGCCAAGCTTATGAGAAGAGGAGGGACTTGGGCTCTGATGTTCTGAAGACAAGGGGGTCTTGAGGCTTGCCTTAGGAACATGTGGCACCTGTGGAGGTTCTTGGAAGCACGTGGGTATACCATGGGCTGGAAAAAGATCTAGGAGTCATCTGCACAGATATGGTGGTTGAAGGAGAAGCAATGGCCCCAGGAGGTGGTGGAGCAAGTGGGTCTAGGATAGAACCCAGAAGGACAATGATATTTAAGGGACCAGCAAAAGACACAAGTAGGAAGAAAGTCAAAAGTATGTCAGAGAAATCTAGGGAAAGGGTTTCAAGAAACAGCATTATTAAATTCTGCTATACGTGTCAATTATGGTCAGAGCTAGGAAAGATTAGATGTAAGATGATGGTCGGGGATCGTGCTAAGAACAGCTTCCGTGGTATGTTGGAATAGCCCGCTTCCAGTGGGACTGAGGAACAAGCAGGGTAGGGTGCAGACGGGAAGGTTAGAGAGGGTGGCAGCTGGAGGGGATGCTACTTTTTTGGCTCCCTCCCCCCACCACCACTGGTCATCATTCTGCATGGTTCTCATGTCTGGCCCCTCTGCTGCCTTTGCCCAGCTCTGGGCTGCAGGATGGGTTGGAGTCTGGAGTTTCTGGTTATGTAGCCTTGGGCAAGTCATGGACAAGTCACCTGAGTTCTCTGAATTTATTTCCCCCTCTACACAAGGATCAGCTCTTTCAGATCTGTTTGAGGCTGCTGTGAGGATCAAAGGTGGGTGAACATCAGTGTGCTGTGACTATGTAGGAGTAAAAGGAGGATCATTCTCTCCCCCTCCCCCTCCTGCAGTCTCAGAAATGACCAGGCTAACTACTCACTCAACACAGATGACCCACTCATCTTCAAGTCCACCCTGGACACTGATTACCAGATGACCAAACGGGACATGGGCTTTACTGAAGAGGAGTTTAAGAGGCTGGTGAGTGGGTGTGAGCCATACTGGCCTTGACTAGGGTTTGGGAGTATGAGATCTACAGGTCCTGCCCAGGGCCTGGGACCTTTTGGGGAGAGGGAGCAAGTTTGTCTGAACAGTCCAAGACAAGCCCAACCTAGACACTTTCCGCAGAGAAGACATCTTTGGGTTGATGTCCTGACCTAGGACCAGGTTTTTGATCCTTTGCTTGAGTTGAGTGCCTTTAAGAATCCAATGAAAGCTGTCAACCATCTCCCCAGAAAGGTGTGCCCAGCGATGAAGTCTTGCATGCTCTCTTCAGGTTGTTCTTAGATCCCAGGCTGAGTGGGTCCATTCCTGCAGGTGTCTTTGGGGTATCTCTGCCCCCTCTACATGCCACCCTGTTTCAAAGGTTTCCCCAACTTCCTTCTTGCAGCCCTTTATCACATAATGACACATTAAAAACACGACCCCATGGTCTCTACTCTGGCACTTGCTGCCGTGTGACAGTGGACAAATCCCTCCCCTCTAAGCATACCTGCCCATGTTCAGTGAAGAGGATGGACTATCACTACATTGCAAGAGCTGCCTTCTTTGTTCTCTGGTTCCATGTTGTCTGAATTCTGGCCCTTCCAGAACATCAATGCAGCCAACTCCAGTTTCCTCCCAGAAGATGAGAAGAGGGAGCTTCTCGACCTCCTCTATAAAGCCTATGGGATGACACCTTCAGCCTCTGCAGGTAGGTTCCTGTCTGAGCTTTTGGGCGGTTGCCCTGTGCTGGGTCCAGCCTGGCTTTCTGTGGGACTTCTAGCAAGATGCTCTTCCTTTCTTGGGCAGCGCCAAGAAGGTGTGATGACTCCCTGGTTTCTGGGCCCTGGCCGGGTGCAGCATCTCATTAGATTGGCTTGTTTTCCATATAACTTCTTGAGAGGCTGTTTGAAGAGGGGACTTTCTGAAGCCCAGTCCCAAAGATCTGGGGAGACTGGGACATCTCCATGGCTGCCCAAAGCTAAGGGCAGGGAGTCGGGCCCAGGCCTGTTCTGCTCCTTTCTACCACTATGGTCTTGGCACGGCATCTCCTTGCCATCAGTAGGATGGAGTTCTTTTCTGGTGTCCTATGATTTTTACAACAACATCCTGGGTACTCCAAGTCGCCTGATCTTTCTGCTTCTCTGAACCAACGAGCAGGGCAGCACCACTGAGGACGCCACCCCTACAAGCCTTCACCCTGCGGAGTCACCCCAACTCTGTGGGGCTGAGCAACATTCTTAAATTTATTCCTTCCAAGAAGACCATGATCTCGATGGTCAGTTACTGATGCTCCTGAAGCCTGTGTGTCCATTTCTGCACACACGTATACCTCGGCATGGCTGATTCACTTCTCTGATTATGTGCCCTGGACAGGGACCAGCGCCCTTGCACATGGGCATGGTTGAATCTAAACCCCTCCTTCTGTGGCAACTTGTACTGAAAATCTGGTGCTCAATAAAGCAGCCCATGGCTGGTATCATGCAGCACGTGGCATGTAATTTGGTCTTGGGCAGGGTGAAAATGGAAGGAGCTAGGGTCAGCCTGCTCAGTAGCAGGGCTTGAGCCCAGGGAAGGCTGTGAATGCTAGGCCAGAACTCCTAACGCTGTGGGCCAAGAGGGGTCCAGAGACTGTCCTTCCAGAAGAAACAAGGCTTCTCTGGTTGTCTGCTCAAACAAACATTCCCTGAACTCTGAGCCCCTCCTAATTCTAGGTTTTAAGGAGTAAACCTTGCTTTTGAGTTCCTAAAACTGGCAGCTGGGGTGACAGCAGACGAGATGGAAGAGTGCTCATCAGACACTGGGCCTCGGAGTGGTGCTGGCCTGTGCGGAACGCCGCCATCTTCTCAGAATCTTACGCTCCAGAAGCTTGGGGCAAGTCAGCTAATTGTGGACTTGGGGAAAATAAGGCCAAACCCCTGTTTTTGCTGCTTTAAGGAGAAATAATCTTAAACCAGTCACACAAATCATCAGCATTTATTTCCTGGGTCCTAGGTGTCACTTATCCTGGTAGAAAGGGCAGAGGTGGTCAAATAGTTTTGCGCCAAAATCCCTTCCCTAAAAATGGACCTGTGAAGCTCCATGAGGGAACCTCAGAGCTGCACAGACAATGAGAGTTGAGCTAAAATGGCTTAAAAAAATGTGAATTGATTGTCAGCTCTCTCCGTCTCTGCTGAAAAAAGGTTTAAAATTTTTAAAAAGTTTAAAAGTGTTTTCTAAAAAAGGGACAAGAAGGTCTTGACCCAGAAGGTTGGGGCTGGAAAGGAGGTGTTGGTGTTGGGACAGGGTCCCTGCCCAGGCCGCTCGTGAGAGGAGCGTTCCTGCATGGGCTGCTCACTGTAGGGCAGGGCCCCGCCCAAGTCCCGGCACCAGCTCAATAAATAACATTTGTGGTTACAGTGTCTTGAAAGTGTACCTGGGCACGGTGAGAAGGTGGTGGGAATGTGGAGCCTGTGGGTGTGGGCAGAGGGCTTTCCCGGAGTGGAGGCCACAGAGGCCTCTGGGGAGCCTTCTCAGTCTGGCCTGATTTATCTGGGACATGGGGCTCAGAGAAGAGGCTGCTGGGCCAGTGCCAGGGTTCCCCCTCTGGGAGGGGACAGAAGGTATCTCGTCCAGCCTACTTGGACGAGATCAGACTCAAGACGAGGTGGTCCCATCGCTGCTCTGGGGCTGGTTGCCGGCTTCCTTGTCTGGGGCGCTTCCCTCCACCTGTCCTTCTGGAGAGGAGAGAAAGGTTTTTTCTTGGGCACATATACACAAAGTAAAGCATAGAAGGGGGTGTAAAAGGTCCCAGCCAAATCGATCACAGTGGATATGCCCTGGGGAGCAAGACAGGAGCTGGACTGGGGTGGTGGTGGCCAGTGGAACTTTGGCCTGGTCTGTAACATCTTTTTACATGGAAATGCACATGCTGTTAGTATAATTAAAAGTCAATTAAGGGCCATTTTGGATGGGTGCTTAAAGCATCTTGAAGGTCGTTTTATTTGTGCAAGTTCCCAGAGGGGGAGGCCAAATGTTAAGTCCCCAGAGTGTCACAGGTCCTCAGCAAATGGCAGGTGTTCTTCTAAGACAGTAAAGAGCCCTGAACCAGGCCAGCTCAGGGAGTACTGGGGTGTGGCCTGCATTAGGCCTGTGGCTGCCAACCATGCAGCATGGGGTGTGTGCTGGGCCACCTCCCCAAACAGACACCTTGGCAGCTTGAAGGACAGCAGCAGGCTCACAAAGGGGGAACACCTCCCCCGGGGAGGCAGGGTACAAGCTGGGTCTCCACTCTCAGCTTCCTTTGAGCCCCACTGTGCAAGGTGGGACAGGCAGCCCCCACCACCCACTGTACCAGCAGTGCAGGGTAAGGGAAGTACCAAACTCACACCCAGGCCCCTAGTCTCCATGCCCTCCTCCTCAGGCTGCACAATAAACATATCTTTTCACAAGGTGCCCCCACGTGGGGCCTGGCATGTGAGCAGAGTTCAATCAGTGGTGCGTTCTTAAACCCCAGGGACACTGTGCAAGCTCACCGACAGACTGAGTTCAAATCCAGCCCAAACAGACCACACCTTTGCATCCTTCAGGCTAAGCCCTTTACAGAACCAGGAGAACCACCACCCTATGCCTAGCTCCAGGGTCTGCAGACAGATGGGCACTTTTTCATGCAATGCACACAGTAAAATGGAGGTGTAATAAGGGTCATGATATGCACAAGAAAAGCGAGGCTCAGTGAGGTGAGCTGATTTGCCTGGATCAAGTGTAGAGAGCCCTGCTTGCCACCAAGGCCAGTACCTCTTCTACCAAATGTAACCTCTTCCAATAAGCAGCATCCCTGAAGGTTTACATCAGCACTGCCTCACTGTGCCCTGCAACAAGCTAGGAAGTGGGTGGTAGCTCAGTACCCTATCCTGGGAAGCCTGCTCTTATTCCCAGTGGGGCGGTGCCTGGAATTCTGTACTCCCCCTGCCTTGGGGAGTCTGCTGGACTGTGCCTGGCCCACAGCCCTGCCCGTGGAAACAGAACTGCTCACTGTGGCCTCCCGGAAGGCGCCTTGGCCAGTTGCTCTTGCCTGGACGCCACCATGAGTGTTTCCTTTCCTCGGCTCCCCTTTTTAAATGTCAGTCACCCTGGCAGGCAAATGTCATGTGCCCAGAGGAACCCCACTGTAGGGAATCTGAGTCAGGGAAAACAGGTGTTAGGAGGGCCTGGGCACATGGGCCAGCAGCTCCAACTGCTGAGGTGTAGGAGGAGACAGAAATGAGTTCACCAGAGCTGAGGGTGAGGACATAAAAGCGTTGAGAGATAGCCCAGGGCAATGTGCCCAGTGTGGCAGCTGGATATGCTGGTCATTCAGTCGGTCAATGAACAGCCATTGACTTGGCACCTCTGTCATGTGCTAAATGCCACCAGGCACTGAGGGCACAGGACACAGGGCCTGTGCTGGAGAAGTTCAGTCTAGAGCAGGGCACTATGCTCAAAGGGCTCATGGAGGCAGATCATGGAGGCGTCTGGCAGGGGCACTGTGGTCAGGGAAGGCATCTCAGCTGAGCAGATGCCTGGGTCTCTAAGAATGAAGAGAGGCCAGCCAGGCAAGGGGAGGGAAGGAGAAGCAAACAGAGGGTTAGTATGTGAAGGCCCACAGGGGCTTCTGAGCGATCAAAGTACTTTACTCCGGCAGCTGAGAGGATGAGAGTTGAGGCTGAAGAGGTGAGCAGGGCAGAACCCTGTGGAGGTTCTGCCTGGGCCACCTGACAGAGGAGGACTAATAGACCATGGAACAGGGAAGGCTTGGGGGATGGGGTTCCGTCAACAGGTGCTGGGGACTTGCAAGGCGGCCAGATTCTCATTCTATGTTAACTCCCTGGTGGCCCTGAGCAAGCCCCCCAACTTCTCTGGGCCTCAGTTTGTCCATCTACAACATGAGAGGGCTGGTCCATGCCCCTGCAAAGCCTTCTCTGTTCTGTACTTTTAGTTTACTTCTGGCCAGTGAGGCCCAAGAAGACTAGGGCTCCCCAGGGAAAGGCAGGGCTGTGACCCTCCAAGGACAGCCCGGGTGGGACAGACGAAGCCTGACAGCTGTGCTGTGATGAGACACACAGCCTCTGCAGTGCTGCGGGAGCAAGAGGAAAAGGCCTCAGCTAGTGCAGGGGTCAGGGAAGCTTCCCAAGGAAAGTCTGAGGCTGACCGTGGACTTGTGCCAAGGGGTTCTCTGGGTAGTGGAGGGAGGGCGGGGGTGTCCCAGTCAGTACTTGGGTGCGTGGATGCTGTTTCCTTTTGTCATTCAGTCTGTGGTAACCAAGCACCTGCTGTGCGCCAAACAGAACACAAGGCCTCTGCCCTCCTGGCACTCACATTTAGCCACATGAGACCTTGTCAGAGAGGTGAGGGTCATGTGATTGGGAAAGGGTGATCTAGCCCCTGGAGAGGCTTGACTGAGAAACAGACCAAAGGTGGATGTAGCTGGAGGGTGGCAGGGAGAGGAGTGGCATCAGGTGAGACTTGGGCAGGGCCCGGCCTACAGCAGCACTGCCCCAGGGCACTGTGACAAGCTTAGCTTCAGTCAGTGACACACTGGGGAATTTTTTGGCAGAAGCACAATGGACAGAATGGTTTAAACGAGGGCTGCCAGCTGCTGCATTGAGCTAAACAGGAAGGGCAGAAATGGGTGCAGGCAGGCCAGCGGGGAGGCCACATAGTTGGCCAGGTGAGAGCTGTGAGTGGCCAGAACCAGCTATGGCTATGGGGTGGCGAGAAGTGGAAGGGCCTGGGATGTACCTTGGAGGAGAACTGACAGGACTTATGGGTGGATCGGGGGCAGGGAGACAGGAAGAGCCCTGGATGCCCAGCCAGAGAGTCCTTGGGGCCTGAGACTCAAACATCTTCCAATCTAGAGACTGCTGGACTCAGCCACTGGCAGTCCATCAGGCCATGAGACAGGCCTCATTTAAATGCAGTTTCTTCTCTAAGAAAGTGTGGGCAGTCTAGGACTTGGAGGCCAGACCGGGTCCGGGCAGAGGGCCTCTGGCATGCAGGAGTGCCAAGGACCTGCTGGCTCTTACCTGCCCCCTCAAGTGCCAGCTCACCCATGTCTCCAGCCAGCTTCCTCACGCTCACAGCCTCTGAGTCTCCCTGGATGTCGGGGACCGCATTCCGACGGCCTGTCCGGTCACAGGAGATGAAGTCCGAGTAGGAGGACTCGACCTCCATCATGCCTGTCGCATCGCTCCTCAGGCCTGTGGGAACAGGAGGCGGGGGGCAGAGGTAAGTCCAGATGCATTCTGCACAGAGGACAGCTCCAGTTCCCTGGCACAGGTGGCTTCTGTCAAAATGACAGTTACTGCCTCTCAATGAAAACAAAACAAAAAGCACAGAAAAGTACAAAGAACAAAACAAGTCACTCATAATTCCATACCCAGACAACCACCATCAACATCTTGAAAAACATGGGTTCAGACTTTTCTTTAATTAAAATTATTGACAAACTACATACATTATCCATACCACATGCCAGGCACTGGCCATAGACTGTAGATGCCGCTATGAACAAATTGGCCATGGTCCCTGACCTCACAGAGCTTACCATCTACCACAGGCGGCATAAAATCACCTTAGACCTAGGTCCTGGCCTAGGTGTGCAGGGCTTCAAGGGAGAATGCAGGCTGCTGGAGTGATCGCTAGGGCCTGCCCAAGGCTGAGGGTCATGAAGTGACATTTTAGTTGAGAACCAAGGATGACGAGGCTTCATGTAGATGAAGAGTGAGGGAAAGAGCATTAAAGAGAGGGGAAGAACATGTGTGCAGGTTCCAAGGAAGGCAGTCATGGGGGCTTGGAAAAACAGGAAGAGCCAGCAGGCAGGAGTATGGCAGAAGAGGGGCAATGACAGCGAGGACACTGCTGAGGTAGGCAGGGGCCAGGCCACATCTGGAACTTGGTCCCTGAGGGGCTTTAGGCCAGGTCATGAAGGAGCAGCTGTGCATTTTCAAAGATGACTCCAGTGTTCAGGCAGAGCAGTGCTGGGAAGGGGCAAGTTAGGAGGCTCCTAGAGAAGTTCAGGTGCCAAGAAGGTGGGTGGTGGAAGGTGGTGGTGAGGATTCTAGATGTAACTTGGAAATCAAACCAGCAAGACGTAGTGTTGGACGATGGGTAATTGATGTGAATAAAGGTTGACAGATGATGTGTGGTTTGCTGACATGAGTAAGAACAGAGGAGGAATATTTGGGGGCATAAAGTCCTATTTGGCCATGGTAGCGCTGATATGCCTGTGAGCCCTCCAAGGGGAGAGGCAGAGCCTTAGGTACATGGAATGAGGAGGCTGGAGCTCAGAAGAGGGGTGGAGTGGGAGGAAAGATATGAAATTAGTAGTTCTTACTACAGAGATGGTAGTTAACAGCTCTAGTGGTTGGTAACACAGCCTAGAGAGAGAAGAGCGCCACATATATAAAGAAGAGCCACATACATTCAGAAATGATTTGGGGCCATACTTTATGTTGCGTTTTATAGCCTACTCTCTGGGATGCTTTAGAACATGTCGCTAAGGCTCCCTCCACATGGGTTTTGTGCCAGCATACTTGGATGGGCCATGATTTACTCTAGGATCAGTCCTCCAGAAATGAACACGGAGATACTTTCCAGTTTTCTACCGCCATATACGGCACGGGGCCTTTATGTAAGTCTCTGTGCCTATCCCTAACTATTTCCTGAGAGTATATTCCTAGAATTGCCGAGCTAAAGGGAAGGGTGAGGGAATTTTTAGACTTTTGACACATTTCCAAGTTGCTTTCCCAAATGGCACAGTGGTATTTATGACAAAAAATTGGCAGGAAGACTTATAAAGTCAGTACTATTTTTATATTCCCACCAGTAGCACACAGGTTGTCTATCTGTACTCTTGGCAACAAGAAGTACCGCTACTATATTAATAAAAGGTTAATTTGCTAAGGGGATACTAGTATCTCTCTCATTGAGTACCTATGGTTTTCTGAAGGCAATTAAGTAGCAGTCATTGCATGAACTCTGGCTACCTGGCAGACCTGAATTAGGAAGTGGGAGGGGTGGTCTAAGCAGTGGCCTGACTTGAGTTCACAGTCCCGTGGGGTGGGCCCAGCAAATCCTAGTTCTAGACCCACTCAGGCAAATGCCCAATGTTTTTAACAGTGTGAGGATGTTTTCTGCACATGGTCAGTAATAGCAATGTATAGGAAACCACCCAAATGTCCACCAGGAGGTTAGGCATTGTGTGAATTATGAAGTATTCATAAAAAAGAAACGTGCTGGGCAGATGTGGTAGCCCACACCTGTAATCCCAGTACTTTGGGGGGCCGAGGTGGGTGGACCACCTGAGGTCAGGAGTTCGAGATCAGCCTAGCCAACATGGCGAAACCCCGTCTCTACTAAAAACACAAAAATTAGCCCGGCATGGTGGTGTGAGCCTGTAATCCCAGCTACTTGGGACGTTGAGGCAGGAGAATCACTTGAACCTGGGAGGCAGAGGTTGCAGTGAGCTGAGATCACGCCACTGCACTCCAGCCTGGGCTACAGAGCAAGACTCCATCTCAAAAGAAAAAGAAAAGTGCCATACAGCCACTATGGAAAGCAGTATGGAGGGTTTCTGAGAGAATTAAAAACAGAACTACCAGATAATCCAACAATCCACTACTAGGTATATATCCAAAGAAATGACATTGGTATGTCTAGAAGACATCTGCCTGCCTATGTTTACTGGAGCACTATTTATACTAGCCAAGACATGGAATCAACCCAAATGTCCAACATGATTGGATACAGAAAATGTACGCATACACAAAGGAATACCATTTAGCCACAAAAAAGAATGAAATTGTCATTTGAGACACCATGAATAAACTTGGAGGACACAATGTTGAGTGAAATAAGCCAGACACAGAAAGACAAATATGCATGATTTTATTCATAAATGGAATCTTAAAAAAAGAAAAAAACAGTATTATAGAAGCAGAGAACAGTGGTTATCAGAGAATAGTGGGGGAAGAGGAGAGAAAAGGATGGAAAGTTGGTCAACAGGTACATAGTTACAGTTAGATAGGAGAAATAAGTTCCTATTCTATTGCACAGTATGGTGATGGTTAACAATAAGGTATTCTAGGCCAGGTGAAGTGGCTCACACCTATAATCCCAGCACTTTGGGAGATCAAAGTGGGTGGATCACCTGAGGTCAGGAGTTCAAGACCAGCCTGGCCAACATGGCGAAACTCTGCTTCTACTCAAAATATAAAATTAGGTGTGGTGGCACACATCTGTAATCCCAGTTACTCTAGAGGCTGAGACAGGAGAATCACTCAAACCCAGGAGGCGGAGTTTGCAGTGAGCTGAGATTGTGCCACTGCAGCCTGGGCAAGATAAAGCATTCTATATTACAAACTAACTAGAGAGGCTTTTGAATATTCTCATCACAAAGAAATTATAAATGCATGGGATAATGGATAGGCTAACTGTCTCAATTTGATTATTATACAACATATATGTATCAAAACATCAAGTTGTACCCCGCAAATACGTACAATGACATGTCAGTAAAAAAATAATAATAAAGTGAGAAATGTGCCAGACGGACCTGTACTGACATAAGACAATGTCTGAGATAAACTGGCAATTGAAAAATGGAGGTTGCAAAACAACACCTAAAATAAAACTCAGTTCCTGTGGGGAAAGACAGCAGACGTATGAAAAAAATCTGAAAAACATGTATCAACCTTGTCAATTGTCGTTGTTTGTGATTAAGGGGAACTTTTGTTTTCTAAGTCTATATTTTTTCAATGGTTGAAGTTTTTATAAACCCAAATTATTATGCAAGGCTTTTATAAGGTAGCTGACATTGGCAGGAAGTACCCAGAAAGCAAGTAGGGTGGGGCTGAGCCAGTAAGTACTGTAGAGGGGCATGTGTGTGTGAGAGGGAGGAGAGGAAGATCATTATGGAGGGTTGGGCCCATATCCCCCACAACACCTAGTGAGTGAGTGAGTGTGTGTGTGTGTGTGTGTGTGTGTGTGTGTGTGTGACAGAGGATCAGTATGGAGGGTGTGTGTATGTGTGAGAGAGAGAGAGAGAATCAGTATGGAGAGCTGGGCCCACATCCCCCCACAACACCTAGCTCAGAAGAGACACCTAAAAAATGAATTAGGGGCACTCAAAGATCAGATACGTGAGACAGGGAGGTGTCCCATGGTAGAAAGAGCAAAGAATGAGACACATGACCTTAAACCCAAGCTCTGTCACCAAACCCTGGGCAAGACCCTGCCTTTCTTCGGGCCTGCGTTTCCCCTGTGTAAAACAGAGGCTAGGCCAGGACACTGTCCACAGCAATTCCCCCGGGCTGCAGCAGATGGCGCGCCCTGCCTATCTTCCTAGTGGTCCTCAGTACTGCTCTAGTCACGCTCCGCCACCTCCTTGACTAAAAGAATTCTCAGAAGTTCCAGAGGTGGCTCCTTCTGCAGATCACAGAGGTTCACTCCTGTCCTCTCCCTCTGGGAAAACTGCTCTGTGATTCAGGACAGAGAAATGGCTTATGATAATAACAGTAATAATAGGATAAAAATGATGCCGAAATTATTCCTGCAATAAGGAAAGGTACTATGGACCAGGTGCCCGTGTTTTCACACACATCATGCACTCAGTGGCCACAGCTGTCCTCTGAGGTGAGTGAGGCTGGTTTAGAGCCACAGCTCAGAAGGGCCTCAGCCCAACCTGAAACCCACTGCTCTGGGGAGGGACAAACCCCAAGCAGGCCACGCCGGCTCCTGGAGCCTCCAAGTCCTCAGCTCTTTTCCTCAGTTAGAATGTCACCTCCACAGGAACAGGAATTTTGTATGGATTTCTCCCATGTCCAGCTGAAGCCTAATCCTGGTAGCTGAGCCAACAGACTCCGGCTGTGCCATTCCCTGATTCTCCCCCAACACCTGGTGAACAGCAGGTGCTCCTTGCACACTCGCTGGATTTCACTTTCAGGTCTCTGAAGGAAAGGGAGTTTGTATCTATCTGTCTTCTCCCCCGCTGCCAACCCCCCCCCCCTCTGTGGGGAGGAGAAGCGGTTCCTTCTTGGGAGTGGTGAGAAAGGCCCTCATGCCCTGTGGAGGGCTGTGCAGGTGTTCTTGTCCTAGGAACTGACACCATGGGATGGAGTTACAGACTCCACCGAAAGGCTAGCTTCCAGCTGGAATGTCTCCTGGGGCTTTGATCACACGCTTGCCGTCTGATGTTACA